TGGGCGTTCGTTCCCTCCCGGGGCGCCAGCCCGCTCTGATGCTGCAGGAGCAAACGTGAGTCCCCTGGGCTCTGCCCCAGCAGTTGCAGCCTCGGGAGCAGATGGGGCCGGGGGCTGGTTCAGCCCTTGCGGGGCTGATTTAGTTCATGGCCAGTGAATGCGCCCTCGGCTGACGAGCAGCATTTGGTTGTGTCTCTCCATCCGCAGCGATCTCCTAGCCTTAAAATCAGCGTCACAGCAGTTACTGCCGTCTGCGGTCAGAAAACGCTGTCACTGCACGCGCTTCTGTAAACCCAACGGATGCTTTTCCTCTGGACCAAACAGGACTTTGTCGTGGTTTGTTGATGTAAGTTCAAAGGAGAAGTGGCTGAGGTCTTTCAAACCGACTCTTAAGTTGTATTTTGTGTAAATCCGCCTTTCTCCAGCCTAAGGCCCAGCAGGGGATGGAGGAGCTCCAGAAGGTGAAGACTCTACTTGTGGATGTGCAGCAGTGCAGGTAAACGGGAAGAAGAAAAACAACTCGGAAGCTGAGGGAGCCGGCGGGGGAGAGGAGGCAGAAGGCAGACGGTGGGGCGGGATGGAACGATGTTCCCTCTGATGGTGCCTTTCCTCCCGAGGATGGGGGAAAAGCAAGCACAAATTCTTGGGACCCTGCCTGGAAGAATGAACAAGGTTGCTACAGCTCTGTTCTACAAGCCTCCATTTTTCCTTAGCGTGGTTTTTTCAGTGAAGCTTGCTCTGACAGATGCTAATGAGAAGACAAAAATCCCTCAAACAGTGGTTTGGCGGGAACTGTTTAAAATCAGCGTGCTACAAAGCAATGAACTAAGATGATTTTAATGAAGGAAGATAGACCTGTTTTAAACACTGTTAGCCAAAATGGAGGAGAAAGGGGTATTTTTGGGGGTGCAAAAAGCTCTTCCTTGGGACAGATGTTCCTCGAGGAAGAACCAGTTCTGAGACAGCACAAATCCGAAGCGCTCCAAGCTTTACCTCTTCAAAGAAAGCGGTTTGCTTGAGCTGTTGTGTGATGATAGGGCCAGGAGCTTGCTGGGGGAAGGGGGCAGGCGGGGGTGAGGGTTCCTGCACCCCAGAGTAGCAGAGCGAGGATGGGGAGTGCTGGAACGCTCCTCCCCACACTGCTGGGCAAGTCACTGGCTCAAGGTTTTGGGACTTCTTTGTAGGAGAGGGGCTGCCAGGAGGAGGAAAGGTCGGAGATGCCGGAGGTGCAACGCATCTCCTTGCCTGCGTGTCAGGCTACTGAGTAACCGAGATCAACAGATCGTCGGTGACCTTGGTTTTCTGGGACGAGTGTCCTGGGACACCGCACGGTGACAAGAGCCCTTTGGAAGTGAAAGGAACTGGCCCCTTCTGGAGGAGAGGGGGGTGTGGGCTTGGCCCGAGCTGAAGCAGGAACCGGTGCACCCGGACAGACGCGGCTGCCCGGCGCTGGGGGCCTCTGTCCGCGTCCCTTCAGACGCCCGACTGCACCCCACGGCCGCTGCTCCATGGCGTGATGGGACCCAGGGAGACTCAGTCAGTGGGTTGGTAGTGCTCGGCAGGGCGTTGGAATATTGTAAATCCGTGTAGGATTCACGTACGTTTCAGGACGCTTTGGTGGCTGGGGGTTGCGTGTCCTGCGTGAGCCGAGGTGCGCAGCTTCTCCTGAGCAGGGCCCGTGGGGTGCAGGGGGTGCTGCAGCCCTGTGATGGCCCCGTGCTTTCTTATGGGGTGTTCAGAGGGGTTTGGGGCATGTGTTCCATTTCTTCTTGTGGCTGGGTCCCAGCAATGAGCAAATACTAATGACTGCAGAGGAGCAGGTATTTTCTGGCCTGAACATAACGCTGTGGCTCTACGGCAACAGGTATAAATGGATTGAGGAAGAAAAAAGATGTTCTGAAAATTCAGGCTGGTGCAAGGGTGAAGCAAATCGCCCTCTAGTGGTTCCAGCAAAATAGAAACTCGATTGATTTTATTTATTTATTTACTTCCTGCAAGAGTGTTTTTGTTGGTTCTCTGAAGGCACCAGTGACCTGTTCTGGGAGCAGCAGGAGCCTGGAGCGAGAATTGCTGAGAAATAAGGGCTGACCTCGGCAGCAGCTGCACTTGCAAACGAAAGCGATCTGGGGACGTGAGGGCTGACGACCCCTCTGCGAGCGAGGGGCCGGGGACCGGGAGGAGGGTCGGGAGCTGCCCTTGCTCAGGATCTGCTCTCTGCTCCACACCTGGGTCTCCCAGCAGCCCCCAAACAAGGCAGAGGAGCAAGCGTTGCTCCGGCGCCCATGGAGATGCCTACCCAGGACTCCAGCAAGGCTGGTCTGCTCTTGGAGTTAAAGCATCACCTGAAACTCTCAGAGAAAAGACCCAGAAGCAACAGTGCAGTGCACACCTGTATTAATTTTCCTGCTTCTCTTATCCAGACATAGGGAAAAATAAAGGGGGGGGAAGGACTTCAGATTTATTTGAGCTGCATGAAGAGCCAGGCCGTCCCCGTTAGGCGAGCTCACGTGTTTTACTGTGCCGTCTTGCCTGAAGGACCCTGCAGGTGCTGCATGCTTTTCATAATTCTCCTGAGTTTTGCGTTGGTGTTGTTTAACTCCTTCTCCAACTCAGCCGTGTACCTGAAGAGCCTAGAACACAAACACAGCCCCGTGTCCCTTCCTGGTGGCCGCCCGGGTGCCCCTCATGAGCACAGGGGCTTGCAGCCTCTGCCCCCCTCCCTGGGCAGCCACGGAGAGGTTTGGGAAGAGACAAAATTTTAAATTCTTGTCCCACCTCATTCTTGACTCATGCCCTTAGGAGCTGCTCTACTAAACTCTCGTTTCCCTCTTCCCTCCCTGGGGGCAGCTGTTGTCAGACAGCATAAGAGCACTTAAAATATCTGCAGTCACTGACTTTGTGTTGATTTGTGTCTCAGGTGGTCCCTGGGTGAGGGTCTCAGCTCGGGCTGCAGCTCCCTGGGGATGGGAACATGAGGGCAAGGGCAGGCTCCGGGCACCTACTGCTGAAATTCTGCAGTGGAGACGTAGCTCTGAGTGGCGACCGAGTCCGTCTCCTCCATGGGTGGATACTTCGCACCAAGTGTTTTTTTCAGCTGGCTCTATTCAACACCAGAGGGATTTAAAAAATCAGTGAATCACAGACAAAGCCAGCGTGGCCATGGGGACACCTGCAACACAGCCACTGGTGCAGGAAGGGGCCACACGGGGCGGGGGGAAAGATCCGTGCGGCTCTGGGGAGCAAAAGTCTCCATCTGAAAGTTGATTTTTTTTCTGGCCCTTCCAAAGAGACCAGCTGTAGGGACACTCATTTCTTTTTGGAGTTGAGACTGCAAGCACAGTGTAACAGGGTTTACAGGCAGCCAAGGGGCTTTTCCCTCTCGTGGTGTAGAAGTGATTTAAAAAATCTGTTTTGGAAGTACTTGGGCAGGTTTACCCCAGATACGGAACCACCAGCGACTGCTGGAAACCTTCCTTTGGTAAAAGGAAGCTACAGTAACCGTTCTTCTTGCATAGGTGCAGCCCATCACCCACGGATGGCTGCAGGACTTGTTCTCCATCCATCTGCCTCTGTCTGGCATTTGGGCAAATGCCCAGCTCACAACTTTATTGTACCAGTGTGAAGACGCACGGATCTCGCCCTCCTGCCCTCTCTGCTATTCTAGCACATGCCCTTGCCTCAACAAACTTTCACTTGATGTTTTGGGCATAATCAGTGATTTTTCTGTATTTATAGGTCTAGTTTTTGCTATTCCTGTGATGTTAAAAATAATATCCTGTGGAGAAACAGCTTTCGTAAGTAACAGCGGGGACAACTGCGACTCCTTTTGTATTATTCAACTTCTGAAATACAGTCAGCAGTTTCTAAGAACCAGGGCAGAATAAAGCCTACCTTGTCGTTAGCGCCGTCGCCATTGGAGAGCTTGGAAATATCCTTCCTTTTAGTGGCTGCGAATTCCTTGCTTGTCGTTCAGGCGGATGAGAGGAGACAGAAGTCCTGTGAGACCAGGTCAGTGCTCGGTACGGGGGGATAACAGCGGATGCTGGGATCCTACCTTTCCAAGCTCTCCTCTGCTGGATTTGCATCCATCCCTGGTTTCTTCAACTTGAGCTTGACAAGGGCCTTATTGCAACTCTGAACGTAGACAGGGAAAGTCAGGCGTGTTAAATGTGTTCAACCAAAGGCACTTTTGCACAAGGACTTGAATGCAAGGAGCAGCGTGATGCCTTGGCAGCTAAACAGAAATCCCACTGGTGTATTTGTTCCCTTCAAGAGAACTTACCCTGCTAGATCTCACATTCGTCACGGAATCCCTGAAGGCAACAGCCGCCCAAACCCAGCAAGAGTTTAGGTTTTGGGGCATATTCAGTTTAACCTTGCTGTAGCCCCGGGTAAGTAGGAGCATGAGTGTGGGTGGGGGAATGGAAGCCGTGCCGCTGCCGACCAGACCAGCTGTGTCCTGGCCAGTGAGTCCCCATTCCTGTCCCTCAATGAAAGCTTAGGCTCTGCAGAAGCAACATTCCTACAGGAAAACCTCAGGTAGGCACGGCTGCCGGCCCTCTTGGAGAAGCTGAGGCTGGATGCGCAGGTCTCCATCCCACACCCCTCTCAATCCCATTTATCTGGCGGGTGACGCTGTGTTCCCCAGCTGAGGCCGGGTTTCCAGGCGGAGGTACCGCCTTGCCCCAGCAACGCAACTGTGCAGTCCCCTTGGCTCGCGTGTGTGCGTCTGGCGGGAAGGGAGCAGGGCGTAATTTCAAGTTGAGCTGAAAAGTTAAAGATTTGCTCCCCTTTTGTGCTCATTCCTGGCTCACAACAACGGTCTGAACTTTGTGGCGTTTTAAAGGTATGTGTTTCTGCTTGTCTGCCCACGCAGAGAAGATTTTTAGTCTCCCAGTTTGGAAGAGCAGCAACAGTGAGCTCTGAAGAAAGCTGACAGGGGAGGTGTCACCAACCCGGCTGCTCTTCAATACCGCTTTGAAAAGGGTGACGAGCAGGTAGGTGCCTTGCACCCTCACTCATGCTCCTCTTGCCGCTAGGAGCCCCTGTGGGTTTGATGGAAGGATGTCTCCGTAGCTGTCAGATGTTTCTTTACGAAAAATCAAACATTGGGTGTTCTCAAATGGTTATGGCTCAGCTGCTTAAGGCTCTTGATCAAATAAGGTAGTTACAGAAGCGTTTGCTTACCCGTCTGAAGAGGTCTCTGATCTGAAGTTCTTCACTGGGTATCACCTCAAAGTCTGCTTTGACTTCTGAATAGGTGTCATTTATGATAGCCAAAAACATGTTCTGCACAGGAAGGATGCAGTGAGAGGTTTGTTTCTGGAAATCACATTTGTGTTACATGGGGGCTGTTGTTCTGGTGGCTGTTCATGCTAACTAATGGGATCGAAGAGGTTTGCTGGGCACAGACGTGCTCCTAATGCGCTTAAATGACCCGATAATCTCAGGGAGTGTTTTTGGGAGACAAACGGCTCATTTCCCACCTGCAGTACCAGCTAAAAGGCCCCGTTCTTTGGAGGTAACGGATTTCCTGTCATGTACTCAGAGCTTTTTCAGATGGTGTTTCCATCTTCAGCAATTAATGACAACCTCAGTCTAGGGGATAAAGCGAACCTACACCTCCATGGTCCCAGCAGTAGAGCGAGCAGCGCAACGGGCTGGTTTTGTGGTGCAAAAATCCCTTTTGTGGCTGTTTGGAGGGAGGGAGGGAGAACTGCGAAGCGCCTCGCCCACTGGGAACTCCTGCGGGAGTTGGGACTGCATCTGCCCGGGGGTGCTGGGGGCAGCCAGGGCAAGCCCGGCATCACCTTGGGGGGAAAAACTGCCCCGAGCCCTGTGCAAGAGCTCTTCCCTGCTGCCCATGCAAAAGGGTGAGCGGTTTTGCGATGATACCTACCAGCAATACGAAGAACACAAAGAATACGAACGTGATGAAGTAAATAGGTCCAAGGATCCTGTTTGCTGCTTCTATGGTTTCAAAATCAAAATCTCCCAGCACAATACGGAACTGTGTGAAGCTGGGAGTAAAAAATACAAGCGTGAGGTTGGCTGGCTTCTCCCAAAGCAGAGCACTGTACGTGTTAGCTAAGAGAAACGGCCATCGCTGCAATCGAGCCTGATTCACCATTGCCTTAATCACTGCGACGCCAAGGCAAGCCGGGATAACGCTGCACTGGCAAATGGGGTGTTTAGCACATATTTGAGAATTTGAAGGTACTATGGCTTCTGTGAGAAAATACTTTCATTTGGGATAAATCACCTGGGTTTGGTTTTGGTTGTTTTTTTTTTAATTATTTCCCTTCTGTTCTAACTTCATGATCCCTCGTCTCCTGTTGGTCCAGAAGGTAACACTATAGGTCCCTACATCCCCCTATAGGGGATTTTATTCCTAGCTAAGACAAATATTTATTTCTCTGTATTGCAACATCTTAGAACTGTCTCACATTCAAGGGGAGCCAAAATGAGCTGGTTTTCTGGTTTAGATGTGCCTTCATTTTACATGAAAAGCTGCTTTCAATCGATCTGGTACGCTAAGGGTCTCTCTCCAAGGTTGTAGGAAATGCAGCTGTGGGCTGAACCACCCCGTACGCTGTGGTGACAGGTTAGGGTTGTGACAAGGTGCAAGGACCATCCAAACCAGCTCCAGCTGGCACCTGGAACTGATCTGGTGGTGTTGCTACAGGAAGGGGCTGAAAAAAATCTGAGGAAGGACATACCAGAGCCAGCAAAGGGACTGGGGACTCCTGGCTGTGCTGCTCGGTGCCTTCTGAAAAGGGCTGGAATGCTGGTTTGCAAGCATGCCCAGCTTGTGCTCTGAGCCGCCGGGGGTCTGGGGCAGTTCTGCTCTGGCTTTCACGCCAGGGACGGTATCGCGTACCTGGTGGCACGTCTGCTGGGAGCAGCACGTTCCTGCCTTTGAAAGAGGCAGAAGAGCAGAGCCTGCCCTGTCACCCAGGGGCCTGCTCACCCATGGCAAAGTTCCACGATGGCTCCATTGGGTGACCCCCTCCTCAGCTTCCCCTTCTTGGGCGGCCCTGACCTCTTTAACATACATGTGGTCTCTCTTGAACATGTGAAGGCCTTGGTAAACAGATTGTAGGGCCAACAAAACTGGTTTTACTCTATGAAATCAGCTCAAGTCTTGTAGACCCGTAAGTTCTACTTAGCAGAAACTGGTTTGCACCTGACCCACTGGGGATTTTGTATCAGAAAGTTTAGAAAATGGCATACATGCAGTTCTGGAAAGTGGAAAACTCTTCAACTTGCGACCCAAAGACCAGATAGCCTAGCTGGGCATAGGCAAAGAAAATGATGAAGAACATGATGGCAAATCCAAAGATGTCTTTGGCACAGCGAGATAAGGTGGAGGACAGCTGCGTCATGGTTTTGTTAAAGCTCACATATTTAAATATCTGCAAGAGAACAGAACACGTTGTTGTTGGGGGACTTCACAACTTCTTAACAGAACTTCTGGAACATTGCCTGTAACTGTAATTCACAGGTTAAGCCTCACCTAGAAATAAGTCGCGGGGTGCGTATCTGTAAGGAGAGCTAGGCTTGGGGCTATGTCTGGAGAAGATAAATATTCTGCAGGGCAAATACACTTATGTGCTAAAGCTAACATTGCGCAGGCAGGTCCTTGCTGGGTACTGGTACCTTTGATCAGCTCTAGCAGGTATGGACCCCTGGTCACGACATTGCAAGACGTACGCCCTCCTGAATCCAAGGATTCCCTGAGGGGCTGAGTGGGGTAAGGAGCTGTCTTGTACTTTGGGTCTGAAACAAGGCCTGAACAGAAGCCTTGTTCGATGACAGTCATTAATGATAAACTCGTTGTGTTACTAAATTAACAGTAATCGGTCTGAGGGGAGGGTGACACAGGAGGACCGTGCAGCTGGGGCGCAGAATGGCTGTCAGGAGGAAGCCTGACTGCAGAACCAGTTAACAGCCAGTGCTCCCGCACAGCTTCTTGCCGTAGCCTTGGCCTGGGAGGTGGGGGAGCCCCAGAGCCTGTTTGGTTTGTACGGACGTGACCTTTCATGACAGCTTATGTCAGGTACGGGGGGTGCGACTGTAAAGCAGGATCTCTTCCGGCAGGTGCGAACGCCCCCACCGCCTGTCTCACAGCCGCTTTGTGCCGGGCGTTTTGCAAATACCTGGGGGCAGAGAGGGCCTGTCAGCAGCCAGGGACCGGGCAAAGCTTTGGGAAGTCTCACCCAGTCACTGGGAACGCTGAGGCCGCCCAAACCGACGTCACTGATGTCTGCTGGGTACAGGGGAAGGGGTGTGGATCCCAGCTGGGGCCAGCAGGGTTTAGTAGATTAGGGGCAGTGCCTGCAGGACTGATTGGGCTCCAGAGCATGTTTGGAGCCCCCAATCTTTGAGAAGTTTGCTGCTCTGCCCAGAGATCAGCGAATCTATTTACACGAAGGAATGAAATGAAAGGTGTCCTGGCACAAAGCCGCTTCTCAGTCGAGTTCAGACACATTTTGCCTTCCTCTGCAGTTAAAAAGCAGCTACTGTTTTCATAGCTTTTGGCCACACCAGCTATGAATAGCTTCACCTATTGCAGCCGTGCCATCTGCATAGGTCAGGCTGTGACCTGGAGAATATCGGGTCTAGGAACAGACCGAGCTTGAGGCGGCTGTTTGGCCATGGGAATTTCCCAGCTGCTCCAGTGCAGACAGCTGCCCACGTGCAGATTTTTTTTTTAGATAGGCTTGGAATTTGTGTGACCCATGTTTATGAGGAGGAGGTAATTTTAAACTCTTCTGGAATCTTATAAACAAAAGTCTCCCTTTTGGCCTTTGCGATTCACCCATGAAAAAGTGAAGGTGAACATTTATGCTCTGCTGAGAAACGCTATGATTAGCGAGTACAAGAAAAGGGAATAAGAACCAATACCTTTATCCAAGCAAAGAAGATGTTGACAGCAATCATATTGTTGTAAAGGACTTGCCAGAAAGCAAGGAAATAGAAGTTTGGGTATACGTGGGCATCAGAGAGCAGCTTTTCCATTAGTAGCGACACTTCCACAGTGCGGTAGATGTTGAAGGCGATGGCAAGGATGGATACCTGAAGGAAAGCAGAAGCAAGTGAAACTGAAGTCCAGCTACGCCCCTTCTCTCCAGACGTGTCACCGCGCACAAGACTCTACTGATTTCCAAAGGCCCTTGGTTAGATTTGAAGAACCCGAGCTTTTCACATGTTTTGTCGTAAACCATATATACAAGACTTTATCGGCCAAACCGTTTGTAACCGTACTGTGATAATTCTGGGCTTGTGCTACAGAACCTGCTGCATACATCCTAATTTTGCTGCATTGCCTCTGGTAGGCACTAGTGCTTCCTTGCTCTGCGAGGATGAAGGCTGTAACGAACAAGGTGAATAACGAATAGAAAGGACACGGAGCCAGAGCAAGCGGAGCTCAGGTGTGCTGAACTGTGGTGGGCCAGGGGCCTCTTCAGCACAGAACAGCGGAACAGTGGGTGGCTGACTCCAGCCAGACACGGATCCAGGCTGTTCTGGCTCCGTGGCTGCCTGCCCGGTGCTAGCCTAGGCTGGCAAGCGTGGAGGTGAAAGTCAAGGGGTAGCTCACCACCAGCAGCAGCAAATCCAGCCAGTTCCAGGCACTTCTGAAATACTCCTTTTTCAGTTTTACTATTTTTATAGCCTCCTGGATTATGAATGTAATGATGAAGAGGCAAAAGGTGATTTCGCAAGAAGCCAGGAAGTAATCGTAATACGTGACGTATCTGAGGAGCTTCACAGAGTAGATATGTGATGAGGTGAAAGCACCCCCAGTAGCAGGGAACTCCACCACCAACCTGAAAAAAATTGGGGACGGGTGTTAGTTACCATCCCTTTAAATCATCTCAGCCCTTAATTTTCTAATATTAATGTTTACGACATTAATAATGCCTTAGTGGAACTCTTACATTTGTAAGATCTTCTGCAAGGGCTACGCTAAGTCTCCCATGAAAAGTCTTACGTGGTTTGTGGGGGAAGAGAAGCTCTTGGGATACCCAAGCTATGCTCTGTGGTTGTAAGTCTTTAAAGAACCTGTGTCTCAGAAGGGCAAACATTCGCCCTACCCTGAGTCTTTTCCCTCCGCTAGCTGACAACAGGACAATAATCCAGTCTTTGACCTTGCAAAAAGCCATGGAATCTGTTCCAACAGCCAGCAGCTGTACAGGCCAGACACCAGCTATTCAAGAAGACCAGATGGAAGGGAAGGCTCTGGGTCTGCTCCCCGCACCACCTGAACCCCCTGATTCATTAATCACTGTCTTGCCTGCTGCTACCTGGGAGACACGTTCTGAGGGGACCAGCCTCTCCTCCCGTCCCTGCGGAAGCACCATGCCTCAGCAAATCCCATTTCACACGTAGTAAAGGTAGGAACTCACTTGATTATACAAAAGAGGTTTACATTGGCGTTATACGTCGAGAAGTCGATAAACACAACCCTGGTTCCTCTAGTGAGCCAGCCGTTCTGCCTGAGAAACTCCAGCTTCTCCGCGCTCTCCCGCTTCGATTTGGGCAGGGTGACCATATATCCTCCACTGCTGTACAAGCCCATGGATCCCCAGTACCAGGGGGATAACGAGGAGGTTGCGGTGTATTTCCATCTGTCCGAAACGGGAAAGCAAAGCAGCTAAGCTTACGGCAACTGGACTGAAGTAAGCTTTACCTTTTATTTTATATAATCCTGTTAGTTCTTGTGTTCTGCTGCGTCCACAGCTGACCGTTTAAGCCAGATCCTTAAAAACCGCTTTTCTTTACATGAAGTATGCGCGAGACATACGGCCTTAAAATATTCCCATTTCTCTTATTTGCTAAAGACTCGGTGCGTTCGCAAAACAGCAATTGCTTATGAATCTGGATCTCGCCCACTGTGGGCCAGACAGTTTATTGCCTGAACGCCTTTACAGGTAGAGGGAATATCTCTGGGTCACGTAGTTCATCGTTACTGCAGCGTGTTCGCATGTTCTTCTGTTGGGTTAAATCAGTGCTCAGTGAAGTGTGTGAAGCAGGCCACCTGGCTCTGTTTCCGGAGCAATTTAGCATAATTCCAATTTATAAACACGCGATTTCAATTCAGGCCTCACATAACCAACCTTTTCTCCAGAGATGTTAGTGGAGACGGGTCCATTAATCTGTGCATTGCTGAACTGGCCTTGCTGTTTCCAGTTCTTCCTGCCTCTCCGCTATAAATTTCCCATGCCCAATTCCCATCTGTAATGTTGGCACGAAACCAAACCCATGGTTTATCTCAACATAAACAAGAGAAAATCTCAGCTAACTGCACGTGCAGTTGTTGCTAACTGGAGAACAGCAGCGCTACGGCTTTGTTTAGATTCTCAAAAATGTTTCTGTGCTGAATAGGCTGACTTACTCAGATTCATTCCTTGGGCCGAAGTCAGACCTGTCTTCATCTTGATAGCGATACTTGCTGTAACAGTCTTCTAAAAACGTATGGAAATATGGGTAGATGGAGCAAGAGTTGTTGCGCACTTTCAGCTGGCGAAGCCGGGCTACTCCTAACAGCAAATTCTCGTAGTAAATATGGCTGCTGCTGTTCTGGGGAGCCAATGTCACGTTGTTGTACCATTTGTCCCAGTAGAGCCCATCCAGGAGGGGTCCCTCTGCAAACTGCATGTACAAGGGGGGTTAAAGATTCAAAAGGAGATTCAAGTACCATTACCCTGCTTCTTAGCATGCAAATCTCTGCGAGGTTCTCGGGTAACTTACAGCTGCGGTCTCAGCTAGAACACGGACGCTTCCCACCTATACGCTGCCTTACAAATAGCATCTACTTACATCCTGTGGCTACGAGACCATTTATTCCCCACACATTCTATCGGAGCCACGCGATGGGATTATTCAGGGCAGGACTACAACATCATCTGTTTGGGGTTTCGCTGAAAAATTCTCCTGAATTCTAAACAAACATGTTTCAACACAAACATTCGACGTTGTTTTAACAAAATCTGTGGGATATCTTAATCTCTGAAGATCTGTTTGGGGATCTATTTCTGACTCGGTTTTAGCCACCTGATTCTAAATGAGGAAGTATTTATCTTTGAAGGTGGGGAGAAAATCCTCCTTGTTGTGGGTGTTTCTTAGATGCAGATAAAGAGCATTAAGCTTGGGGATAACATTATTCCGAGTACAAAGCAACATACCCCCACGGCCTGGTGCCGTCTGAGCGCGACTTACAACCATTTCCAGTACATCAGCACGCGCTGTGTAGCAAGGGCTCACTATGGGCTGGCAACAACCGACCCCGCAGTAAGAGGGAGTACAGTTCTGCCGAGTGAACGGTGATAACCAGCCATTTCCACTTTTAAGGAAGAGTAGGGTGAGAAACTTTTGCCTCCTGCTGTCAGCGGGGCAATGCTGGTAATTTTGGGAAGTCCTCCACCTAGTAAGGAAAACAGAGATACGCGTTTTGCAGCTGTCATGGAAATATGACGTCATGTAAGAGCAAACCAGGTGAATCACGACGGTACATTCTCCTGGATGCCCCACTGGAAATCATGAATATTTTTTTTAGAACAGCTGAAAGTCAAAAGAACTGTAAACCCCAAATCATTCTGGTTTGAATTGAATTGAATTGAAGCTCTTTTCAGACCAAGCCTAATATTGAGAATACGATGCAGCGATTAATTGGCCTATTGCTTTCCATGACTGACTACCCAGCAGTATCGGTATTATTGTTTGTACCCAGAATTGCCCCAAATGCATTTTAATTAGTTATTTGCCTTTCTTCAGCTGCAAGCACAACATCTAGCACACGGCTGTCGGGAGAACAGTGAGACTCTATCGCTCCGAATTAACACTAGGAGCTGCCTCCCTTGTTTGCTCTCCAAGGAAACACCTTCGCAACGCCCAGGCTCACCCTCCAGAGATCAGCTCTGCTCCCGATGCTCCTGAAACCGCTCCTGCCGTCCTCGGAGGGCTCCAGGAAGAGACGGGCCATGACTTTGTTCAGGTAGTACATGTCGGTGCTCACCATGCCGAACGTCACTGGAGGGACGGGGCAGAGAGGGGATGCTCGCAGGCTGCAACTGGAGGGGCCAGTAGCACCGGGCCTTGCCCCTCGCTCCCCCCGTCACCGATGCTCCCTGCCAGAACCCGGCATGCGGAGCACCCACCCGGCTGAGGCGGTGCTTTCGGGTGGGTGATGGGCGGGGTAGGGGCGGGTGCTGACAGAGGCACAGGGACAGGGAGCGGCGGTGGTCGCCTCGGCCCTGCGAGGACATACTGTCCTGGTTTTGGCTGGGATAGAGTTAATTTTCTTCATAGTAGCTACCATAGTGCTGTGTTTTGGATTTAGTACTAGAAGGATGTTGATAACACACTGATGTTTTTAGTTGTTGCCAAGTAGTGCTGAGACTGGCCAAGGACTTTTTGAGCTTCTCCTGCTCGGCCGGGGGCATAACAAGCTGGGAGGGAGCACAGGACAGCTGACCCCAACTGAGCAAAGAGCTGTTCCAGCCCACAGAACGTCGTGCTCGGGGGGGTTGGTCGGTCGGTTGGGGGGAGAGTGATGGCAGCTCAGGGGGGAGTGATCGCGGCTGGGGGGGGGAATGATCGCTGCTCGGGATGGGCTGGGCTGGGCATCAGTCAGCAGGTGGTGAGCAATTGCGTTGTGCATCACTTGTTCTATATATTCTCTATATTCCCTTACCATTATTATTATGACTATTGTTAACTCTTCTCTCTTATTAAACTGTCTCTAACTCAACCCACGGGTCTTACTTCTTTTTCTTTCCCCCGATTCTCTCCCCCATCCCGCTGAGGGAGGTGTGAGCGAGCGGCTGCGGGGTGCTGAGCAGGTTTGACCCAGGACAGTCCTTTCGGGCGCCCAACGACACTTACGTACGCAGAGGTCTGCCAGGAACGCGGCGTAGAGGACCAGCTCCCGGAGCGTGGTGCTCAGCGCCAGCTCCCGGCTGC